AGGAGTAACACTTATTATATCAAAAATTATTTTACACCAGGTAAACAACAAGCATCTTAACATCACCATTTAGTTCAGTAGTCTGACTAGTTAACAAGCCAAAACAAAACTATTATTCCAGCTCTCTATAAAGAGAAAAACAAAAAAATATGGATAATACCCCCCTCCCAAAAAAAACAAAAAAAACAAATGATACTGATAATGTACCTATGATTAGAGCTGCACTGATTTCCAGCTTTACTTGAGATCTGATTGGTTACAATTTTTCTGAGTTACGAACTATAGTAAGACAAAGAAATCTGCTATAAGTACTTTTACTTTGACAAAAGGTCGTTTAGTAGTGATAGAGAAAACTGGTTGATTCCAGTATCTTTCTAGTGGACTGGTGCATTATAACTACAACCAGAAGTAATGTCACATTTTTTTAAGCTGAATTCGGTAGATCTGTTTTCCGTAAATAAACAAAAAGGTACAGTTGTTGGAAGTTTTTGCATTAACTGAAAACTGGCTGTTTGAATTTATTTGAGGGTCTTTTACCATCAGAGTATCATACAGGCATCAGTCCCACCATTTACCATCATCTATGAATAGGTTTTTTTGGCTGCCAAGTGAATGATGTCTCCACTTTATTTACTTCGTTTTCTCTGCTTGCCCTTTGTCTTTAAATGTCACCTTTGTGTTAACATTAAAGTGTGTTGAAGTCTCAGCGTGCGTAAATATCGGTCCCCATTATAAATAAGCGAACACGCATGCCATATCTCCCTATCGAACCCTTGTCATATCAGATTAATACAAGTCTCCTTTAGGGTCCGACCCAGACGTCTTGTCCAAAAAAGGTCTGGAAACCGGCCGCGGTCGAAACGTATCTCTGACAGTTACCAGCGTGTCACCTCAACTTCATCAGCAGCCGAGTGCTGCGAAACGTGAAAGCATCCAGAACACCTGATAATCGTGCTTATCGCAGGCAGCTCTCCAGATTAGATGCTGCAGGGGCCGAAACCCCTCCACCCCCACACGCCTCCTCCTGCATACCTCGCCAGCAGCCAGACCATGTTTGGTGAGCGCCGGTGCACGCAAGATAAACGTTAAGCATCGTCGACGGCGTGCGAGGTTGAGCAACGGAGCCGAGCTCGCAGCAGCAGTGCTTTGCTGGTGCGAATCAGTGATCCATTGAGGCGCAGGCTGTGCAAGAGCGGGGAGGGAGGGCGTGATGTTGTTCAGCATGTGAGAGTCACACCAGCCGGGCTGCTGAACTTTGCCTCTCATAAGGTTACAGTTTACAGTTGGGCAGTTAGGATTCAAGGAAAGGGAAATTTAAAAAAACGACGCAGAGAAAGCCCCAACTCGCGTTACTCTTTGCCTTGCTGTACAAACATCTACATCTCTCTGCACACTTGTGAACAAGTGGAAAAAACAATGACCCGAACCTCTTTCCTCCCTCCCCCCCTCCCCCCCTCCGCAGCTCAAACAACACAAATCATTAGAGCAAAGACAAAGTGGGGCTGTCCAACCTTATGTTAATTCGTCCAAGTGAATGTAAGTCTCGGCCAGTCTGGACGAGATCCAAACATTTCTACAACATTAGATTCCTCTGGCCATTACTCTCCCCGTCTCTGTGTCTGCCTTTCACACAGACAGTCCTCGTCTGGCGGTGCAGCCCGTCGACAGCACGGAATTTCAATTTCGAAAGAGTCCAGATATTTATCAAACAAACGGTACGAGGCGGGGGAAAAAACAAACGTTTTCATCAGAAATACTGTAATAATGACTCTCTGTTATTCAGTCGGGAATATTTCATACTATATCAGAAAGCAAATCATCACAGGTCAAGGTCATAGTATCTGATAGTGTGCGGTCAAAATTTTAATTACAACTGCAAAAATAGCAGCGAAAGTTCACTTTACAAGAGCAGCTGCAAATCGTTACTAATGTTTCAGCTCCAAGTCAAAGATATGACATGAATGCAGGATGAGCTGATGACTAGGAATCAAATGTAGGTTTTAAAAGGTCCTGCTTGGAGTCAAAATGCACAAAATTCTGATGTAATTTAATGTTAAGAGCTTTTTATCACTCTTGTTTCAATTTTATTTTCTGGAAACAAAAACGCGTAATGTTTTGTCCATTTCGTCTGTTGAAGTTGGTGATAGACCAACTGACTGGTTGACAAACTAAACTTGTCCATTTCCATTAAACTCCTGAGCCTCTGAGACCTGAGAGTCAATCTACCTGCTGCTGGAGATCAGAACTGGCTGATTTTTCTTGATCTGCTTTTTTTTTTTTTACCTTATTCTTCAAAGGCACTTAGACCACAACTCCCATCAATTCTGGTCGAAAAACGCATCAACAAACAGCAAATACTTTAACGCACTTCTTCAAGTCTACCACAAACCAAAATAAGTTTCATGTTATAGGCTTTGATGTACAAATGGGAAATTCTTGCATTTTGTCCTCTGTCAAGGAAACTGCAGCATATTTTTATCGTTACACTGTTTTTATATGCTACAATTAAAAAGAAAAAAAATCCAGATTAGTCAAAATCTAAATTCGGTGTCGGTCAGAAAAAGCCTGATCGCTGCATCTTTATACAAAACCAACGATAAAATAGATACATCTCTATGTTATTTGAATTTTATGTCAAATTTAGACAAGGATATAACAAAACCATTATTCTTGTCTATTACAACTACACATGTACCCTTTGTAAAAAAATAAGCGTCCCCCCCCCCACACACACAGTGGGAGGGTACTACATCATCTGTCATAGTGTAATCTTTGGTGTGTGGTTTTCTATAATTCAAATAATTATAGGACCTGGAACCAGATCATTTGTCAAACAGGCCACAGGCACAGATTCCCATCATTAAAAAAAAACAATATATTCTAATACCCAAACATTATATTACGTAAAAGAGTTCAAACTGAAAGAGAAAACTAATCAAAAAATAAATAGCAATTAGCATAAGAATTGGCATTGGTACTGGCAATTAAGAAATACCTAATTGGTACATGTCCAATTAAATGGACAAATTCTCAATATTTTCAGGACCAAACTGCCACTGACTCAATAAGCTGTTTGCTTAAATACACACATTTGTTTGGTATATTTGAATTTGACAGTATTCAGGATAGAACTGAACTGCCTTCACTGTTATGGATTGTACTGGAAGGAACTGCATTGATTACAATTGAATTTGGACCGACTTGGATTGTAAATAATCAGCCGCGAATTGACCTGCTTGTCCTGTAAAGTGACATCTGTTGCCACATAAATAAACTAAGCTGAATTGAGTATGTTTTGAATTTTTAAAAAAATGGCTGTGACTTCAACTAGCAGAGATAGAACCGCGTCCCAGAAGACGACCTGTCAAACAATCCGATTCATGAGGTCAGAAAGACTCAGACTGAACTTCTTAATTTCTCATCCTCTACCTCATCCGAGAAGTGCATAAACATAAACTCCCTGCATCTGTAGAAACCCTTCCGAGCTCGGGACCAAATATGGCATTACATCAGTCCGGGGCATGTTTGGCTATTCAGTTACAAACTGACGAGCCCTAATCAGATTTACTCCAAATATCTAACATAATCTGATACACCTTTTCTTGCAAGCTCGAAAATAACAATCCCTGTCCTTTGAACGGAGACACATCTGTGCCAAAAGCAAAGACGTACACAACCAACCTAATCGGAGACATTGTTGAACCAGACCGCGCAGCGTTTACAGAAACTGGACCATCATCTTATCTTTATTAGAAAAGATTATCTCACATTTTTTCCCCAACAAACAGTTCTGCTGTGCTTAGATGGAGGAGGTAACTGTAATGCAACAAAGACTTATTGCCTGCATGTTGCAGCAGCAGTTGTTTGAACTTCAATGACTCCTCTGTGCTTCTCTGAACTCTGATTCACTTTGGCTCAGAATCTCTTTTATAGTTGTGTTTAGAGGTCCAAACTTCCTGTTATTATTATCACCATTGCAAAAATGTTTACATAAACATTGTCTCGGTTATCTAAGGGTAAAAATGTGAGTAATTTGTTGAAAACAAAAAGCATATGAAATAAACACAGCTCTAAAATGTTATTGAATTAAGCTAGATTTTTTTTTCCATGTCTAAAAGATTAAAAACCTAAAACCATCAGCAACAAGAGGCTTAAAATTGTGTGGGTTTTTTTTACATTTTGCAACCATACTAGCAGGCTCTGCTTCATGTAAACACCTCTGTTTATTCATTACAAAACAAATATAAATGAAGAAACACATCTAAAATAAATACACCTAAAGTTTTGATGATTTTGGACTAAACTATTTTTTTTAAGCATTTAATTTTCATCTCATTGTTAGCCTGATGTAAAAGCACTAATTACTAAATGCAGGAAGTGAGATTTGCAAGATTATGTGTGAATGGTACAGGCAATTAGATATTCTCACTTTTTCCTCTTTTTTTTTTTTGCCGTCAATATAGAATGAAACAAACAAAATACCCGAGCTGAAAACTCATCATTACTATATATGGACAGTGACGTCATGAACTGAAGCAAAAACTTTGCGAGGACAGGTTGAGGTGTGTACAGAGCAGAGCATGAAAAGCTGCGTCTGATTTCAGTTTTTCTCTCTGCTAGTCATTTCTTGAGCTCGTCATTTTACTTGTGAAAATAAAGTCCAACCAACTTTACATTTCTGCTTTCACGCCAAATAATCAGCTGTTTCTCTTTGTGTTTTCAGTAAAGAATAGAAGAATAACGAGGGGGGTCGGGTAGGGGGGGGGGAAACTACTCGCATCAGGAGGTCTGGTGAAACTTTTACGAGTTTATAGAAACTCCGAAGTGAAGTGAAGCAGTTCAGACACTTTCGGACAATCAGGCTAAAAAAAAAAAAAAAAAAAAAAAAAAAAAAAAGGTGGAAATTCCCAGAGGAAGCAGCTCGAACCTGATTATTAAGCGTTAAAAAAAAAAAAAAAAAGCAGCAGCTCCTGAGCTCCAGGTACGCTGGTTATACATACCTCCTCTTCGTGGTTGGTGAATTCACTCTGCTCGTTTTCCTTCTCGATTTTGTTGTTATTCATTCTGAGTCGGACTCTTTGTTGTTTTTCCTCACTCGGAAGCTCGTCTTCTTCTTTTTTTTTTTCTTGTTTCGCTTTGCTCGTCTCCTTCCTCCACAAATTAAATTAAAAAGCACCCTCCGACTGGACCCGAGCCTTTGGTTCTTCCCTTTAGTTCGGAGACATTAATGATTTGCCTTGTTTGTATTATTCAATCAAAAGGAGTCGGTTCAGCTGTGAGCGGCGTGTGTGTCTGGGCGCTCGGATATTCCCTCAGCATTCCCTGGAAAGCTTCTCCGCAGGGCTCCTCTTGTTGCTGTTTCCCCCCCGAAAATGAAATACAGTTTAATGTTGAGCGAAGCGCGCCGCAGGCAAACTTCTCTCCCCATCCCACCGTCCGTCCCTCCGCGCGGAAGGAGGCGAGGGAGGACGGAGAGGGAGGGGTTTTCTGGGTGGGGTAGAGGGCTGGAGGATGCGCCGCAGCGGCGTTTATGGAGGTTTTATCCACCGCTGGAAGAGCTACAGCGGCAGGGGGAGAAACAAAAAATCTGCACCCATCACCTTTTGGACCAGCTGGATGTTATTTTAGTGACTGAAACATTCCTGAAATATTCTCCTAAGGCGCTGGCTTATGTGGTTATTTTATTTATTTATTTTTTTTTATCTGACTGCCTGCACAAATTGCTGAGTCGAGGGGGTTGTGGACAAAAGGGGCGACACAATTCTTGCTTCTGTTTGTCTCCTTGCGAATGTTGCGAACTTCTTTTGAACTTGAGCTTTTTTTTTTTTTTTTCCCCATGTTACAGCCACAAACCAAACTTCAATGGATTGTCCCGACGGCTACTGCAATGGTTATAAAGTAGTGCAACACACCAATTTTGATAAGGACCAAAGAGAGTCGGCATAGTGTTGATTTAACTCTGCAGAATTTGCTGTGTGAATAGGAAGAACGTGGCAACAAATAAAAAATATGAAAAAAAAAAGAAAACACATCATAATTCAATACTTTATACAGCTACCATCGTACAACTTTGAGTCTTTTGTGATACAGGCTTCAGCCATCTAGAAGCTGAAATTTTGACCAATGACCATCTTGATTTGATAAGTATGGACTTTAACTGGGCCATCCTGACACATAAATGCTCTTTGATCTGTTGTGTCAAACTCATTTTCATTTTGGGCCACAACAATATCATAAATGTTCAAAAAGATGATAGAATGTATTATTAAACGGACCTGGTAAGAAACAATTAAAATATTACAGGTTTCTCTGTATTCAACGGTATTAAGTAATATTTATCTTTTCACATTGATGGAATTCAGCAATACATAAACAGACACTGATTTGACTTGACTCATAAAATAATACTGAAGCACACAAGTCTCAAAGTTCGACTGAAATAGTTATGGTGGCCTGGATCTTGCCCAAGGTTCTCGGGTTTGGCACGTGATCTAAACCGTCCTAAAATGGAGAAGATCGAACTGATTAATTTATGTTCTCCTCTTGGTTACCTTCAAAACTTTACTCACTCTCTGATTTCCTGTATCTTCTTCCTCTTTACAACTAAGGAAAGTGAAGATCAATCAAAATTTGGCCTTACTTTCATTTTAGCAAGTACCTGGCATGCCGAGGTGAGTGAATCTTCATCACTGGAGACATCATAGTGATGTTAGATTTAGTAATGTTGTTATTGGGTCATTGCTGCAGTATCTGAGATACAGCTGTGTCAAGCGGTTAGCTGTGTGTGGTATGCATGACATAGTGAGCGGTAGCGATCAAGACACAAATTTTACTTATTTTAAATCAGTAGTAGCCTGATCAAAATAGGAAAGTACAGTATCAGAGGTCTTGTAAGGTGACGTCAGAGCCTCATAGCATAATGACAAATACAATAGGTTGACAGGAATGTTAAGATAAAGATAATGTTAAATTAACCAGATAAACTTTAGCTTATTGTGGTTTCCCCCAACATACTCCAATGATCCAAATAAAAACACATGTAAAATACATCAGAAAATACATAATAATACATATATTTAGGGCTTTTTCCACATTTCAACATATTTGCCCAGAAGTATGAAGATGGCTATAAGCCTAAAAGTTATTTTGACTGTGACTTTTGCTGTTATGATACGTGTCTGTTCCAGCAGGTTCAGGCTAGGCGCTTGTAAGAGTTTCAACTTTACCTTCAGGAAATTGGAGTATCATGAAAAACTGCAGTTTGCTTTACTGATTCTTAGTTGTTTTTTGTACTGTAGGCATGACTTTCTCAACAAAAGCAATCAAACTTTATGCAAACTCTGCAGTAGCCTGTTTAAAGAGTGACTTATTTTTTTTTTACCACACCTAAATGGGGTGATTGTCTAACCTTTAACTAGGCTGCATGACAGCGTTCATCATGAATATGGCATCATGAGACAAGTTGTCACCCAGTAGCACATGTGCTACCTCAGCGTCTTTGAAATGCAGTATTCAGCATAATCCATCATCAGTAAAGAAGAAAACATCAGTAGACACAAACAACCATCAGCCTAATTGTTTAATGCGTTTCATGTGTGTTCATTGTCTCAAAACGTTAAGTGGCGTCTCGTTTCTTGTCGGGCAGCGCTAATCTCCTCGATTCCTATTGCATTTCAGGTTGGTCATCGCAAGCGAGACCTGGAGAACCTGCGAGGTGTTTAGAAAGCCTTACTCGTGGTAATCCCGCCACGTGAGCTCACCTAAGTCTGTTTGATTTATGATTTCTGAGTGCAGAAGCAGCCAGGCCCCTGGAGCCGTGGAAGCGATGTCTCAACCCAGCGGCAGAGATGAGAAAACACTGTAAAGTTTACAGGCGCGCCTGTTACAGCCTACACAGCAAAAGGCGCAAACAAAACAGCCTTTAACAGCAGCCATCAGGTGACAAGGCACCTTCAAACACTCCCCAATATCAAAACATTTATTTTGAGCAGCTGCCTCGCTCAGTGTTCTGCGAGTTAAAGTTCGAGAGCTGACAGTAGTTCTTGACTATACGTTTACGTGACATTTATTACACGGGACAGACGCTCGCTTCGTTTGACAGCCGGCACTGAAAAAGAAAAAAAAGAGAAAAAAAAGTCAGGGTTTTTTTTTTTTTTTTTTGCTGCACTTGCACCTCAAAAAAGGAACAAGGAAGGAGGAAAAAGTAGTCGCCGTGGCTCAGTCTTCTTGGATATTTCTCCTCTTTGCTCCTCCCCAATCATGTCTATATCAATTACACCTCATCTGAAGCGTGCACAATGAAGAAGGGACATGGCAGAGTCTTTTTATGCTGATGAGAGGCAGTTGGGGATGATGGGAAGGAGGGAGGCTGTCGGAGTCTTCGAAGCAGATAAAAATGGAAATCTTCCCCCGTTTGCCGTTCACCACCGCGCTATCAAAGCTTCCTGCTGGAGTCTGGGGAACAACGCGGGGGAGGAGAGGTGGAGAGAGTGGGGGAGATGTCCCAGCTGTGTTTGACAGGTCTCAGAGCTGAGCTGTGTGGTCTGATGCTCAGAGAGAGAGGGTGGTCTCCCCCAAACCCCCGTAAAAACACACACACACACAAACATGGAGAAAAGGGGGGGCGGAGAAAGAGGAGCAGCTAGGAGAGAGTTTGGTCACGGTGTCCTGGGTAACATGTCAGCGAGCTTTGACGAGGCCCAGCCTTACATGAAGATATCTGTGCGTTATCTGCAGTAGCTGAGCAGAGCGCAGCGTCAGTCAGGGTGCCTTCTAATTTTAGACATGACAGGGAAACAAAGGAGACCATGCATATTTTCAAAATACATTTTTAAACCGGCCCTAATTAAATTACGCTGCTGTGGTTTTAAGGAGTCAAACCGCCTTCAAATCTTTAAAAGTACCAACTACTGCAGTTTTATTTGCTTTTTATACATTGATTTGACAAGTTTTTGTTTTGGTTTATCCCGATGTGGCCACAATTTTCAATTTATTTTATTGACACAAAGCAGTAAAAATTGGACACACACACACACACACACACACACACACACACACACACACACACACACATATATACAACACTAAGTTTTACGTTATGTGGAGCTCCACCTCAGCAGACAAACTTGACCTGGCAACCCGAAGCTCAAAAAAACAAAAAAGAAAAAATGTTAGATTTGTTAATTGTTGTGCTCAATGACCAGATTAACTACTATTAGCTACATAAAATATGACAAGAATGTATTTCTCTGCAACACTTTTGCTAACACAAGTCGTACAGCACTGTATGTGCAACCGATTTCATGAGGTGCAAGTGGTCAGAAATGAACATGAGCAGTAAAACGGGGAACAATATCAATGTATTAAAGTGTGTGGAAATCCTCCTGGATTTGGAGACTAATGTCTTACTTTCCAAAAGGCCAGTTACAAATACATGAACAATTTCCTCTGTCAGACTCTACAGATCAAGACGCCTTTTGCTTTTGTACATGTACTGGAGTGTCTGTCAAGTATAATTTAGTTTCAGGGCCCCATCTCTTTTCCTTTTTTTTTCAGTTAACTGTAAATAAATAGTTCAACAAGGACGCAGATATGGAAGATTGAGACACAAAATCACATTCTCCAATTCTATGATCTGAATCACTGACTCACAGCTAAAAGGCCAGCTTGATATGAGCACAGAAACAAGAATCTATCATGACACATTGCCAATGTATTGACCTGCGGTGGACCCCTGAGGTTGGACGCCTGCTGTTCTTAAAGTTCACTCAGTTGGCAGTCAGATGACTCAAAAATATCTGGTCTATGCGTTATCTTTTTTTTTTTTTTTTTTTTTTTTTTTAAATGCCCAAGAGGCTTAGTACTGTTCTTTAAAGAACTAACCACATCATTTATGATCATAAATTAAAACAAAAACACATGGGAGTGGGAAACTTGTCCATCCAGAGGTCAGCTGTAAAACAGGCAGGTCTGGCTGAGAACATGACAGCAGCTCAGCTTTTGGCAGAGAAACACTCCTTACCCTTCTAGAAGAAATGTGTGGTAAGTGTCTCTCACTGGTTTTTGAGCCAGGCCATTCCATTGTTTTGACTCACCAAAATTCAGTGTTCCTCTTTTTATGCCGTTGTGCCCTTTGATCTTCCCGTAAGATCACTAATGAGCGATTTATGGTCAGATTGACCTGCTCTAATGTGCCTTCGGAGGTTTGGTATTTCAGAGGGGAGTTTTCACAGCCAAATCTTTGTATGACAAAAAAGTTACGACAAACATTTGCTTCAAAAATTTAAGTGGTACACCTCAATGTCTCTCCGTAGCTGCGGGTCGTTTACATCCAATATAACAAGACTCTGGCAACAAGCCAGTGGATGCTTGACAGGGCATTTCATTTGCAAGATCTTCATTTCACTCTCATTTTTTTTTTACCTACAAAAAAAAATAAAAAAAATGCTAATCTGCTAATTCAGCCATTCTTTAACATTTTCGTTCAGATTGTCCAACATGGAAGT